AAAAAAAAAAGAAAAAAAAGAAAAAAAAAAAGAAAAAAAGATGCTGAGATATTCCAGCTTAGAAAAAGTAGAAAAAGGTGGGGAAAAAAATGCTTGGTCAATAATTCTTGTCAGTTGTAAAAGCTTAGAGGATTTTTCTTCCCCTTGAAAACTGGAATCAACTAATAGGATCAGAAATTTGTGCAACAAGACACTTGGCATAGTCCAAATATTCATATATAGCTGGGCTGCTTCAACCAAGCATTTATTTATTATTCCTTTATCCTTGGTCCTGAGTATTTCTAGTAGATAATGTGCAGGTGGTGAAGAAAGAAAGTACATGTCTTAGAAAACTCACTGGTCAGACTAATCTACAGCAAGATTCAAATAATAAAGCAGCAGTATAATTTGTATAAAAAAATCAATACATTAGCACAGCAGAATTGGGTCTTTAAGTGGGGCTTGAAAAAGCAGAACTGTCTGAATTTGGAAAATAAGTTCTGTGGGCATAACCAGGGTGAGAGCTCTGCACAGGCACGCTCCAATCTCCCAGCATACTTAGCACCATTCTCCCCTGAAATCTTCTCCCCAGGCAGTTTACACTACAATTGGATAATAAAAAAAAAACCAAACTGCACCATTATATTGTGGTAATAAGTCCCACAAGTTAACAAAACATTGCCAATTATAGCAATCTGTCTATCCATGTTTAATGCTTTCCCATTTCGCTAAATTGTTTCTTGTTCTGGTATCATGGGAGAAAGGGAAAAACATAAATACCCACAAGGTCTCTGCTATAACTTGCCCTCTGAGGATTTGTTCTCTTGATCTTTGCAGTACTACATCTCTCTCAGAATTCTTTTAAATTAAAATCAAGCTGTGCCTTCCCTATTTTTCTTATAATTGTCTGGACTTTTTGCTTAGGTAAACTGGGTTTTAGTATTTCTCAACCACAGCAGAGCACACTGCATATGAATGGGAACAGGTGAAAAGAAACCAAATCATCTAGAACAATCATCTTTTCTCAGAAAAACCTCAGTGGAAAACAGAATATTTTATTTCAGCTATTTAATATGCAATGAGAGCCAGCTGAAAAAAGTTATCCCAGGTCCCCTAGGTAGCATTTTTTATTAAAGAGAAGAAGAAATACTGAATTCAAATAGAAGCAGAACAATTTTGAGCAATGCACAAGGAGGCTCTATGACCAAATCTCAAGGGATTTAGAAATACCTTCCACTTATACTTCAGATTTTGGTCTTCACATGAAATAGTCACTTTCTCCAGTAATCAGCACCTTTGTGAAAAAGTCAGTCATTTGAAAAAGGAGAGTATTTCTCATTTATTTTACTACTAAAGGTGGAGAAGCTCCAAAAAGGCCGACAAATTTCAGCCCGAATTAATTTCAGATGGGATTTCCTTCCAGAGATAACACTAGAATTCCTTAACCAGTCCAGCACTTCAGCCCCTTTTCCTCCCTGAACATATGGATTTGAAGAATTGGTTTTCAACTCCAGCAGTAAGAGAGACACAGCAGTAAGACTGAGAACAAGTTCCCATGATTGCTGGACAGACAAAACTGCAGCATTCCTCTCTCCTACAGAGAACAAAAGCAGAAACACTGCCAGCACAACAGACAGGTCCCCATCCTACTGGCAAGAAGCCTCTTGCCTGGTTTTGCAGTAATAGCAAAATCCTGAAAAGCCTCAATAATAAACTGCATACTGCTTAGTGTCTGCAGATTCACTACCCTGATTTAAGCAGCCACCAGCCTTGAGTGCAGATGAAAACCACACATTTATTCCCTTAAAGATATATAATCTGCTGCAGCCCCAAGCTCCACAGCATGCAGAGACATAGTCATAGCCAGCACAGGATCATTCATCCATGTAAAACCCCCGTAGGTGTATGATCTCATTGGAGGACTTGAGCATCACAACAAGACAGGCTAATTAGGAGCATTTGGGGACAAAGGGGCTGGTTTGGCAAGAGGTTTCCTCAAGCATTAAAGATGTTCACCAGCAGCTGAGTGACAGAAATTGTCAGGTCCATGCAGAAAAAACACATGAGCCATTGTCCAAGAGCGATGTATTTCATGGCAAGAGGCTATGCTTTGCTTTCAGCCTCAGTATCTGTTTGGTGAGGAGCTGAGGGTGCTCCAGCAATGATCAGCCCTTGCCTGGAGTCCCTGCCACATCTCTGCCTGGCTTTCTGGGGGCTCCTTCCCTTTGGTTCTCATAGCTGTGCTATAACCAGCACCTTGGAGCTGCAGCTCCCAGAGTCTCAAGGTCACATAGTGGTATTCAAAATAGCACCACTTGTACACCAGAGCCCAGAGGGCCCTTCAGTGCCTGTAGACAGCTCATATAGCCTGTTGCAGGGAGCCAGGGCTGTGGAGCTCTAAGCAGGTATCGCATGGCCATAAGGAAACTGCCCTTCAGCTGCTCCCTTTACAGCAGCACTTTCTTTTTATGAGCATTCACTATTTTTATCCTTTACCTGAAAAGAAGCCTAAGCCTTGAAATTTGCATGATCCAGGAATGTGGAAGATCAGACTGGAACTGGAAAACAGGAACTGGAATGGCTTGGCACAACACTGCTTGCTGTGGGGTACTGCTGATAAAAGGCAGGTAACCTCCAGGCCACTGCAACCATGTGGCCTCTGTTTCTGCTGTGGTCACCTGCAAATCTTCCATATCTTCTCATTGTGATATCTAATACACAAGATAAAATTGCCACAGAATATTCAAAGGGCTCCACAGGCATGGTCTGTATGTGTGTCTTGGGGATGGACAAGGTGAAAATTGCTCCACATTTTGGAGTGCTTGAAGTAAATTTGCTTGAGTAAACATCAGCCAATTGGACCTTAGCAACACTCCAGCTTGACCCTTAAACTGCAGAAAGGGTATCTCCTCCTAAAGTGATGGTAAGTCAGAACATGCCACAGGGATCCTGCACTGCCACTATGTTCAGAGAAAGTCAGCCTGAAAAAAAGGCAGTCAGTGAGTCTTTGCCTGTAGGACTGGGTGTGGCAGACAGAATCCAAGTTCTCTGGGACAGCTAATGCTCCTGCCTGTGTGTTTATGCAGCACAGACAACTAAGGAAAACTGGTCTAATCATCAAAGTAGTAATATGAAGTCATAACTCCATCATCAAGATCCACTTTTTATGTAGGCAGGTAATTCCCACTCCTGTTTTACAGATAAGAAAACACAGGCCAAAAACACCCCCACAATGAACACAAGGTCAGAGTCAGTTCAGAGCAGGAGAAAACAACTCAGGCAGTGTTGTTAAGAAATGCTGTGCCACATTGCCACTCCTCAGCTCCCTTCTAACACTGTCACCATACACAGAGCTGCCCTGGTGTGTTTTCACAACTCACACAAGCTCTAATACCTGCAGTTGAAGGCACCTTGTCCTCAGCAACAACTGAACTTCTGCCCCTCTGGCAGCTTCACTGGCAGAATTTAATACTAAAGTGGTGAAGATGTTTTCTGCCTCACAAAATGACAAGAGGCTCAGGCTGATCTGACATGCTCTCTGTTCTCTAGCAAAAAATTATTTTCCAAGGGATTTCCGCCCATAATACTACGCCAGGTAGTCTCTCAACATGAGAGGCAGAGAAGGTGTTTCCCTGGGAACAGTAACCATGGCAAAGTCCTTACCAGTCTCTTCCCCTCTCTACTACAGGAAGAAAAAGAACAGCAGATGCCTGAGCTCTGCCTCCATCAGGTCCACAGGCCCACAAAGCCATAAGCAACCTGATCAAATGTTCAGGAAGGAACTTCAATGAATTCCACTGTCTTTTACTGGACACCAGACATTTCTGTCCTGCTACACTGAACTCGAAATGCCTCAGTACAAAGAGTGCAACTGGAAACATCAGTGTTACTGAAAGGTCAGCCAAATACAACAATGCATAGGTAGGCACTGAGCCCAAAGATCAGCATGGATGGATCACCCACAGAAGCAGAGGTACAATGGACTGGCTTTGCACTTTTCAAACCCTGACATTGTGTGTTAGAGCCCTATTAAAAAAAGCATCTGCAAACCCCAGTTTGTGAGCAGTGGCTGCAGCTGATGCCCTGCTTCTGGTCCACCTCTTTTTCTACAGAATATTCTCGATTTGCCAGATCAAATACAACTCTCTTTGCTGAAGAGATAATTGAATCATAGTAAACACTTTATCTTCCAAGTACTATCATATTACATGTTTTTGGCAATCTTCATCATGCACTAGTGAACATGTTATAAATTTCTGGATTTGAGGTTTACTAAGTATTTATTCAAGTTAACAAGGTAAATGAAAGGGGGCTCTTTAAAAAATCTTCCTCTCAATGACATAGAGAAAAAGTGTTCTATGATTCAGCAATCTTGATATATGAATTGACAGTCAACAGCCTAGATTTCAACTACATCACTCCTCTTCAGAGTTAACATGCAGTTAGCACAAATTGTTAGGCACTAGTACCTTATACTAGCAACCCCCCTGAGAGTGGAATACTGCCCTGTACCTGAGATGACTCACACAGAGCACAAGAAGCTCCATTGTGCAACTTTCTAAATACAGTCAAACCAAAATCTTTACAGAAAGGAAGATATTGACCTTCCACACATTAATTTAGAAGCACAGGGTGACAGGCTCAGCTGGGTCATGACACCCACTGCTCCAGTTCTTTACATTTATTTTTAAAAAGTATTTTCCATGCACTGACACCTACTCCTGACTTATACAGAAAACTCAGTGTCTAACACCCGAATGAAATAAATATTTATTCAAAATGAGTCTAGCATTCATTTTAACCTCCTTTAGGTCAAATCACTGCAAATATCCCAGAAATGTAGCCAAGTCAAATGCTGCAGTCACACCTGAGTTAATACCCAAATCCAGCCATTTGCCTTTAATTATCACTGACTCCTCAGAGAAAGCATTAAGAATATAATCTCTTTTTTGCAAATTGCCTGGGGATGCAATGCAATTACCACTACAAGATGTTATTTTGTTTAAAGATGCTGCACATACCTTTCTTTGCCATGCGCTCCAGTCTAATGCATCCTCCTATAAAATCATGATAAGATTTCATTTCTCCTTCTGTTATCCGGACAGCAGTGAAAGGCAGATTCCTGGGTACCTGTTGTCCACATTTCCGACAGCGAGAAGCCATTGCCCTGGCTCAGGAGACTCTTGTCAGGAATCTGCTCCCTGTTTGCTGGAATCCAGCCTGATTCTTCAGCCGTCAGTCCAGCCTGGTGACTTTATCCCACTTAGTTCATTCAAGGTCACCCTCGCCAGCAGGATGTTCACCATTGCAATTGGCTAAGACTTTTACAGGCTTACTGACTGTGTTTGTTTCTCCCTCCTTGCTTTCAATATCAGTTTACTTTAATCTCTCATTCAGAATGAAAGCTGTGAACCTCAGCACAGCCCATGCCCTGAATGGCTTCCTTATCATTAATTTAAAGCTGTCTTATAAGCAACAATGAAGAGAGAAGATCCCAGAAGCACACTGCAAGATCACAGAATTACTCTTAATAAGCATGCCAGATATGTTTGCAAATTTTTTTTCTTTGAGAAAAGGTTTCTCTTCGTGATTTTTGGTCCCTTTCAGGCTTATGATTTTATGATTCTTCATCTCTGAGAATGGATTTTTTACTTCTGCATTTCAGCTTGGACGGTGCAAGGAGACTGCTCTGCAGAGCTGCTCAACCAATTACTCACACGTCTGGCAGTGGCACTGGGAGGCTGCAACTGTACAGAAAAGCCCTCTGCTGCTGTGCACAGTCCCTGCTCATAAGATCTGTTAATCGAAATGAACAGAGTAGCAAATGGAGGACAAGGGAAATATTGCTGGCAGACATGTTCTGCTAGCTGTGAAACTCCCCAACTAATTTTTTTTAAACAAAGAAGTTAGATCCATTAGTTAGACACCAAAACCAGATATTTGAAACATACATTTAGAAATCCCACTCTGAAGGAGCTGGATATTTAAGCTGACTTTTTTTCCCATTTAACAATTACTATAACACAAACCACTGGTTAGAGAGCCATATGAAGAAACTAGTTATTGGGAAATTGAGTGCAGAGAGCACTCAATCCTGATACAGTGAATTAAAAAGGACCTTTCCCTAGGACTGGCAGGGGACTGCACAGGAGATGCATAACAGGCACAAGGCCAGCACTGGTGACAGTGCAAAGAATACAATGAGAACACAATGAATCAGGGCTGAGCTGCCAGCCAGAGCTCAAGTGCAGTGACCTGAGCACAGTATGAGTTTCCTGCAAGGATTTTACACACAGACTGAGAACCTTTGCCTTCCTCTGCCTCAGTCACTAACACCTGTTGGCACTTTACCTAGTGCCAGAACATACAGAGTTCAGCTAGTGGCCTGCTCAGATCACAACTGATCCCTGGACATGGAGTGGGAAAGCAGAAGGCTAATTAATCCAAATTAGTGAATGACCTAGAGAGGACAAAGATGCTCAGGAGCAAAAAGCCTGCTATGGTACCATAACTAAAATGCTGAATAACTGGCTGGACTGCACTGAATGCCTGTAAACTGAAATATACAGAAATCAACTCACCCACCCCTATTTCTTTCCCATTCCACGAACTTGCAACTTCTCCTCTGCCAGCTCTGCTGCCTCAGGCACACAGGGAGAGAGGTTTAAGCTTCCTAACCCCGCACACACAAACTGGCCATATAGTCAAACAGCTACCAGACTTGAGAACTGAGTCTCAAAACCTCTTCTTTTTATGAAATGATGCTATAAAGGACATTTCCACTCTTAAAGGTAAAAGTTTTTACTACCCTCACGTCCAAATTTGCTATGTGGCATGAAGTTGCTCACTCTCCTGTTCTTTGTCTTTGTCAAAATCCTGCCTGCAAAGTGAGAACATTGAAGTACTGAGCAGTTGAATAGCCTGATTCATTAGCATTTGTAAAATATTTATTAGAGCTTCCATAGAGAAATTTCTAGGTGACAGTAGTATTTTACAGATAGGGGGAGCAGTGGTACAGAAGGCAGAAATACTTTGTAGAAAACTTTCATGATGGAAAAAGAAAACTAGAAACACAACCCTGCAGTTTCATCTTTAAACATTTCCTCCCTTTTTTCTTTCATTACAGGGGCTCAAGGTGTCCTTCCTTACACGGACAAACATGATATATCTTGGCAAATAAACTTTTCTGACAATATGTTCATGTCTGACACACAGAGGTGAACAATGAGGGAGAATCCAGCATTTGTGGAAATACATTTCTGTCTGCCACCCTTCCTTGTGAACACTGTTTCCCACGGGTACCCACATGGATTTGCAACAGGAGAATCTGTGACATGCTGTATTCCAAGGGGGAGACTTGATGCTGGAAATGGATGCAAGAAGAAATCTGCTCCATGTATGAGCTTTGGATGCACAGGTAAAAGGGAAATGATCTAAAATAACTTCCCAGTCTTTCCCTAGGAAAGCCTGATCTATTACAATGCTAAAAACAAACCTTTGCTGCCTGTGGTAGCACTGCCATCACCCAGCTCCAGACAGAAAAATAAGCTGACTGCAGCTGCTACACATTTAGCAACAAGGCACATAAAGGTCACCTCAGGGACTGAGTTCTGTGATGCAAGGGCTGGGATGGATGGATGGATGGATGGATGGATGGATGGATGGATGGATGGACAGAAGGATCTGCTTGCTCTACTGTAAGTTTCATTGCATTCCTATTCACAAGCTGGGCTAGCTTCTCCTGACACATATGGAAAACAGGACATAAGAGCACTGAGACCTACCTTGTTTCCTACCACACAAATTACCTCTTCTGCACTGGTCTGGCTGTATCTGCACAGGAGCTGCAGAGAGCTGCCTTGCAGAAATTCTTTTATGTAACATGTTACCAAACGCATACACAGTGTGGATGATGGAGAATTCACAAATTTCCTCCATTAGCTGAAAGGTACCTTTTTGAAAGCAAGTTACTACTCTTTGTGTGCAGAAGGTTGTAGTGCAGGAAACAGGTACAGAAAATGGTAGGCATGCTTCCCTGGGTCTTCTCCATAATCATTCAGAATGGAAGTGTATTACCTTCCTGCTGCTTCAAACAACCATAGCAAAATGTTTGGAAAATCTAAGGAGGAGGATATTTCCTGGTAATGGATTGCCAGCATTGCCTAGCAACATAATCTGGGTTGGTCTGTCAATGAATAAGCAAGTAAATAAATGTAAGAAAGTGTCATCAGAAATTAAAAATTAAAAAAAGCCACACAAAAAAAATAAATAAAGAAAAAAACCCCACCCCACAACCCATGACCCAGATATCCTCAGATGCCATTATCCAAAACAGCCTGCAGAACTGTACTGGTTCCTAGTTTCAGTAGAAATACCAGTTTGCCATGGAATTGATGCTTGCTGGAAAGTGCTTGCTGCCATGACTGTGTGGCCAGAGGAGGGCAAAAAATTTAAAGTCAGCTCAGTTAAATCTGTTTAAGCCACATGTCTCTTCTCATGAAACAAGATGCTTGTGCCTCAAAAAGCAGTGCTGTGATGGTTGGTATCACTGTTAAGCACAAAACATGGAACAAACCTGTTGGATCTCAACGATGCTGAGCCCAGGGGACATAATTTCTTGTGAAGAATCAAGATTTGAGTTTAGGAACAGCATTTATGTGTCAGAGGAAGGAAGACAAGAAATCTGCTTCTGCTGAGAGTGCAAATGAGGCAGGTAGAAAACACTGTAAAACACTTGCTGTTTGCAACTTACCCCACAGAGTCATTAAAGCAATTGAGGGGAAACAGGCATCACTTTTCCATCAGAGCCTTGTAAGAACCACTAAGAAAGTTTAGTGTAAAAGAGACTGAAAAAAAATACTGCTCTTATCCACAAACATTTTAGAAACTACAAAACATAAAAACCCAACAGCAAAGGTATCTTATTTATTCATGAAGACCTGAAGCTCCCCCCATCAATGTATGTAGTATTCCACAAATCTAAGAAATAAGTAATCTAAATCCTATGCCACTATAAATACACAGAGAAGCTAAGAAAATAATCTATATTTCTTCCCTGAAACCCCAACTTCACATTTTCTTATTTCATGATGTTTTATCTGATGTTTGAACTAACCTTTGATAGCTATGCTGAAACACATTTTCATTTTGCATATACCTCAATAGCCTTCCTTCTGCCTTCTCATTTTCCAGATCATGAATCCTATAAGCCATGAGGCATTTCAGTAGTTTGACACAAAGCTTTTTTTTTAGAGCACTCTTGGTGCAATGGTAACATCCATCCCAGTGTTCAGCTAGAAAACAGAAACTAGTATTTTTATTAACTTTCATTTATTTTCTTCCAACTAATAAAAAGCAGACCAGGACTTCCTCTCCCTCCTTTTTTTAATAAAGGACTACATCCCAGACATTGTTTTAAACCCCAAGGAGTTAAAGGAACAAGCAGAGGAAAAAACATCTCTGTTCTTGAAATTCGTTGTAGTGTACAGCACTGTTGCAATTACAACAGGCAGTTCCTGCACTAGAAGGCACTAATTCCAGTGCCATATGGCTTCAGAATCTCATTACACTGATCTGCTTAAAGTGATTTCTTAACGGACAAGCAAAACATTTTTGGTCACCTTCAGCAGAGGGAAACAACAATTCTGCCACTGTTGACGCACACAGACTCCCACGCAAACTGCCAAAAGCAGGAGTGAATAGTGAAGATCAAAGGACAACCTTAGCCAAAGAACTTCTGTTGTCATCTCAAAGCTGTGAAGACATCAAAGTTTTTCAAGGACCATTACCATAATTTTAAAAAAATTAAAAATCCAAAACAAATAAACAAAAAAGCAGACAAAAAAGAAACCCCCAATCCACTGACATCACTGCTGGATTAGATAAGATTCTCAGGAGATCAGGAGATGAGCAGAATCTTCACAGGCCAAGCAGTGGACATGAATTGTTGCTGCACCTGCAAGGTTTATTTTACCTGACTCTCCTGACCTCTGCAACTAAGAGCAGATCACCAAGAGCAGAAGGCATTTCAGTCCTGCTAGGCCTCTGCTTGGCAAGATAAACAAACAGACCCCAGAGTTACCAAAGTGTAACTGGCACAAGGGCAAAGAGTAACTAGATCCAGGGTTTAGGCTTGGATGCCATTATTCCAGTCTTGATCATGAAAATTCTTACAGACCTAAGTGAGACCAAGAGCCTTTCAGAGGAATCTGCCCAAAACATAAATGGCTCTTGGCTTAAAATCACAGGAATAAACTGAGAGACAAGTAAATGCAAAAGAAATACATGAGAGAGACACTGAGTAACGCAGAGAAGGTTGTGATCTATAAAACCAGGCATGTCAGAACCCCATTCTCCAACTCCTAAACCATATTACCAGTGCAGCACCAGTGCACAGTCTTTGTGTCATGGCTCTCCAGCAGCCCCATGGGAGCTGGAAAGGACAGACTCTGGACATTAAGAAGGGAACATATTTTCTCCTCTCTGCTCTGCCACAGACACACTGAGTCACCTCCAGGACATGGTAACCCTGATCCTTGCTGTCATTCAGAGCACTGCACTGGATTCACTGCTCTATTCCTCTTTCTTTTCCCCTTCACCTTTTTCTCCCTGCAAGGAACCTCTGGAGCACGCCTAGTGCAGAACAGCTGCTGGATCCATGCAGCCAAGACCACCAGGACAGCTTCTTTCCCTGAGGAGCAGCTGTGCACAT